GAATGCCTTCATCCTTTACCAAATTAGGTATGTTTTCAGTCCCTATTTCTTCAAATATAGTCTCTAACCCTTGCTCATTTTCTTCTTCTTCGGGGACTCCTATGATGCGTTAATTAATACATTTCCAGTTGTCCCACAGTTCTTTTAAGCTGCCTTCCTGTTTTTTAATTTATCTTTCCATTTGTTTTTCTGATTGGTTGATTTTGTTTTCTACCCTGTTTACAAATTACCTGATCTGGTCCTCAACTTCCTCTACTCTGCTGTTTAGATCTTCTAATATGTTTTTTTAAATTTTATTTCTGATATATCATTCTTCATTTCTTGTTTGTGGTTTTTAATTTCCAATTGGTTGATTTTCAATATTTCTATGTCTTAGTCATGGTGTTGATGTCCTTACTCATGCTGTTGAGCTTCCTCAAGATCATGGATCTGAATTCTAGCTCTGTTAACTTGCTTAACTGCTCCTCATTTATCTCATCTTCAGTGGAGGTCTTTTCTTTCATTTGGCATGTGTTTCTGTTTCGCCATTTTGGCTATCAGAGTGGGCTTTGAAACCCGCCAAATTTTCCCTGTGGGTGTTGGTGTTCTGCTGTTTGTGGCTCCCTCTCTTGGGTTTGGATGAACGGGGGAGGACCCACGTTAAACACCACTGTCAAGTCTTACTTTCCTGGTTAGAGTTGCCAGCCCAGGAATGGTTCAGTTATCCTCCAGCTTTTTCCCTGGAGGCTATCAGTGGCGGTTACTTGAAGAGCCCTGGGTCCTCAGTTGAATGAAAAACTTGCTCAGGTGCGCAGTATAAGGTGATTTCCCGAGGGTGGGGCAGATGCTGGTTGTTAATGAACTTCAATTTGCATTTCAATGGCCCACCTGGGTGGGGTTGAATCTCCGAGGGAGGGGCCGCTGCCTCTCCTGAGAGCCCTGGGATGGAGTAAGATGGCCATCATCCTGTGTGGCTGCAATTCAGCAAAAGCTCTGAGCACCCTCCAAATCCTGAGTGTCCTCACACAGTTCCTGTCCAGTCCACCGTCCGTCTGCTGAAACCCAAGGTAAGTGGCTGTGGCTATTTTAGTGTCTGTCCTGGTGCTGCGCTGTGGAGCCACTTGTCAGTTTAACCCGAGGGTGGTGCTCACAGCTAAGGCTGCTGCTTTCCATGGGGCTCCCAGCCCCCCTCTTGCACCTCCACAATCCTACCAGGATCGAGTCAGTGTCCCTGATTATATGCTCCCAGCCCCCCTCTTGCACCTCCACAATCCTACCAGGATCGAGTCAGTGTCCCTGATTATATGGTCCTTGCAAGCTGCTTTTCACATGCTTTTTACCAACGATATGTCTGTATTTTAGTTGTAATTTGAGTTTGGTCCTGGGAGACTGTGTAGCTTCCATTCACTCCACCGCCATTTTGGAATCCTAATAACCTTCTTTATTTGGAATCTGTAATTCTGTCTTGTGTAATCACCACTAGGTCACTGCCTCACATTCTCCATTTTCAGATGTTGTTAATAGTGCTGACAGTGGTCTATGTCCCGATCCCTACTTGGCTTGATACTACTTAATGAAAAGGTAAGCAAACCGGCTCCTTGATAACCTGAGCCAGAAGTGGGTAGGTGCATATTTTTCAGGATACTTGTTTGCAGCTTTTATCCCCAGCCAGGATTGTTATTTCACCTTTTATTTTGAATGATATCCTCACCGGATAGAGTAGTATTGGGTTCAGATCCTTGCTTTTTATTACTTTGAATATTTTATGCCATTCCCTTCTGGCCTGTAGTGTTTCTGTTGAGAAAACAGCTTACAGTCTCATGGGAGCTCCCTTGTAGGTAACTTACTGTCTCTCTCTTGCTGCCCTTAAAATTATCTGTTTGTCTTTAACTTTTGCCATTTTAATTATGATGTGTCTTGGTCTGGATTTCTTTGTATTCATCTTGATTGGGACTCGCTGTGCTTCCTGAATTTCTGTGACTTTTTCCTTCACTAGGTTAGGGAAGTGTTCTGTCATTATTTCTTCAAATAGGTTCTCTATTCTTCGCTCACTTTCTTCTTCTTCCCCTACCCCTATGATATGGATGTTGTTTTGTTTCATATTGTCCCAAAGGTCGCTTAAACTATCCTCATGTTTTTAAAGTGTTTTTTTTTGTTTTGTTTTTTTTTTTCTGCTCTAATAGATTTTTCTACCTTTTTTCCAAATCGCTCATTTGATTCTCTGCTTCATTCAGCCCACTTTTATTTCCTTCCCATGTATTCTTGATGCCAGATATAGTATTCTTCATTTTGACTCATTCTTATTCATGGTTTCTATGTCATTTTTTTTTCTTTTTTTTCCTCACCCGAGGACATTTTTCCATTTTTTTGTACAGATAGAGTGGGAGGGAGAGAGAGGAAGGGAGAGAGAGAGAAACATCGACGTGAAGGGACACATTGAGTGGCTGCCACCCGCACGACCAACCAGGGACGGGGACAAACTGCAACCGAAGTACGTGCCCTTAGCAGGAACCGAACCCGGGTCTCTCTGGACTGCAGGCCGCCGCTCTAACCGCTGAGCCAAACTGGCCAGGGCTCTATGTCATTTTTTTTTCATGTAGATGTAGTTCCCACTAAGTTCCTTGAGCATTCTTAAAACCATTGTTCTGAATTCAGTGTCTGCTAAATTGCTTACCTCCATTTTATTTAGCTCTCTTTCTGGAGATTCCCCCTCTTCTTTCATTTGGGGGTTATTTTTCTCTCAATTTTAGTTGTCTCTTTGTGTTTGTTTATATGTATTAGAAGTGCTATGACTCCCAGTTTCTTGGGGTGGCTTTTTGTAGTAAATATCCTGAAGGACCCAGTGGTGCTGTCCACTTGAACCTCTGAGCTGGATGCTTTATGAGGGTTTCTTTTGTGGGTTATTTAGGCTTTCTTGTTGTAATTGGGTCTTGGTTGTTGTTGTCCTGTTCTTAGATGGGATCTCCTCTCGGTCTGGCTGACTGTGAGGTTCAACTCCGACCATGTTGTGTGAGCTGTTGTACAAGTTCAACAACCAGATAAAGAGACATACAATAATGTCTTAAACAGTGGAGTGTCTGTCTTTATGGAGTTTGGGGCCTAGCTCAGTGGCCTGTACTTGTGTATAGTGCAGAAGACCTATAAATTTGTTTCCAAGCCTAAGAAAAACCCCCTTGGGTTGGTCACATCATCAGGTGCCAAGCTGATTTTGACACTGACCTTCACCTCTGAAGCCATGGCTGAGTCTGTGGCTGTCACGTTCCTGTGTTTGTATTGTGAACAGAGCAGATGAACATCAAGTAGTCACCCCGGCTTCAGTGTTGCACCTCCTGTGACCATATTTATAGCTAGAAGTTTGTACTTCTTAATCCCTTTCCATTTTTCACTCATCCCACCAGTCCTCTCCCATCTGGCAACCGTCAGTTTGTTCTCTGTATCTATGCGTTTGTTTCCATGTGTGGGTGTGTTTTTTTTAGATTCCACATATTAGTGAGATCATATGGTATTTGCCTTTCTTCCTCTGAATTATTTCACTTAGCATAATACCCTCTATCCATCCATGTTGTTGCAAATGGTGAGATTTCATAAATGTCTGATCAATAAATTGTACACCTGGAACTAATATTATAATACATGTCAACTATAACTAAGAAATAAATTTTAAGATATCTAAAAAAATTAGAGATACCAAACCCAAGTAACAGAGGAGTTATATAGAACTGGGGTTGGCATTAAACAAATTAATTTGAACACAAAACTTTCAGTGCAACATAATTGTGCTATTCTCAAGATTATTGCAGAGTTTATAAAAGGTAAGTGAGTTAATTAAGACTGGGGACCTTGGGTTCAATTATGATTTTATCACTTAATAACTGTGTCTTTGCATAAATATTTTAAACTTCTCTTTCCCCAATTTCCTCAACCATAAAATGAGTTATTGTGAAAAGTGAATTGGAATATAATGAACTAAACAAACTGATGAACAAAATAGACCCAGAGACATAGAAGTAGGATACAGACTGACATTCCTTAGAAGGGGAAGGAGGAAAGGGATAAACCACAGAACTTATATGTATGTATACATACCAATGAACATAGAGAACACAACTGGGGACAGGGGGAGAGGGGTTAGGGAGGAGGGAGTCAACGGGGGTTAAAAGGAGAAACATTTGTCACAAAAATAAATTAATAAAAAAAGGAAAAAAATAAAAGAACAAAACAAAACAAAGTGCTTTTGGACAGTGTCTGTTACATAATAAATGCCAGCTATGATTATAAAAATTTGAATTTGGAGGGTATTATGAGAGGTATATTCTGTTAATGGAACATGTTATCTTTGTAACCCTATGTATAACGTTATTTAGACAAAGATACACTAAATATCTTAATTTGAGGTCACTTGGGAATGAATGGAAAGAATAGGGCTGACGAAATATCTCAAGCTTTAGGTCTAGTGAAGTGATGTGGGAACTGTAAATAGTTCATGGGCATTGGGTGCTGAGAACATAATGGGGGACCACTATACAAAGCTTGGATACTCAAAATGCATCCCCTGGCTAACAATGCAGAATCTCAAGCTCCATCCTAGGCCTGATGAATCAGAATGTAGTGAGACTTCAAGAAACTAAAGCTAACCTGAAACAATCTTGTTCATTTTGTATTGATGTACTTATGGCCAGAATGAAATGGTGACCATCATTTTGTCTCTCTCCAATAGAGTGCTTACTTCAAGAGACTTTGTTTTATTCACTCTTCTGTTTTCACATTGGAAACATTGTGGGTACAAAAGGCACACAAATAGACTAATAAAAGTAAAATAAAAACCAGTTAAAATATATCCAAATTTGATGAAATGATCAATTAAAAGAGAAACAACATGGAAGAAAGTCTGCCCAAGTTCTGTTTCCCAAACAAGCATCTTTTCTCTAGCCTGTTGGAGGATGTGGGTGGCCCCAGGTTGATTCTTAGTCCACAGCCTCTCTGGTCTCTGGTGATGGAAGAGCCAGACTTTGAGTACTTACTTTTGGACTTCTGAATCATAACTCCTGACAAACTCAGCAAAATGTAGAGTCCTGAAACAGGGAAGCAGAAGAGAGAGAGACATGAAACTATTGAGAAAAGAGCCCAGGAAATTCTCCAAGGGCTGTGTATCAGTTATCTATCACTAAAACAAACCATCACAAAATGTAGCAATTTAAAACAACAACATTCAATTTACTATGATATCTGTGGGCCAGGAATCTGAAAAGAACTTAGCTTTTTTCAGTGGTTCTGGCTCAGGATTTATTATATTGTTGCAGTTACACAGTGGCTGGGGATGGAGTGACTGAAAACTATTTGGGAATTATTGTTTCTTAATGTGGTCTCAAAGCCTGGGTAGTTTGGATTTCCATCCAACATGTGACCTTCCTGGGTCAGGCTACCCAAAAATCAAAGTTTAACCCATATCCATTAAACTTGTCCACCCTCCTCTACACCTCTCACCCCACTTGGCAAACAGAGACCATTCAGTTACTAGCACCCACTTTTATAAAAGCTTTATTGAGATATAATTGATATACAAAAATCACACACATTTAATGTATGCATCTTCATGAGTTTGGACATATTGTATCATCACCACAATCAAGGTAATAAAGCATATTCATCACTTCTAAAAGTTTCCTTGTGTCCTTTTGCATTTTTTCTTTGGTAAAAACACTTATCATGAAATTTACACTTTTAACATATTTTGAAGTGCACAACACTACATTGCTAACTACAGGTAATATGTTTTACAGTGGATCTCTAGAACTTATTTATTTATTTATTTTAAGTCCAGTCTTTTTTTTTATTTTAAAGTTTTTCTTAATTTTATTGATTAAGTTGTTTTTGTTACAAATGTTTTTCATTTTTTCCCCATTGACACCCTCCTCCCCTTTCCCCCTGCCTCATCCCCAGCTTTGTTGTCTATGTTTATTGGTTATGCATACATGCATGTAAGTTCTGTGGTTTATCTCTTCCCCCACAAACTCTTCCTCCTCTGAGGCTTTTCAGTCTGTACCCCACCTCATGTGTCTGGGTTAATTTTGTTCAGCAGTTTGTTTAGTTCATTATATTCCATAAATAAGTGAGATCATGCGCTATTTGTCTTTCTCTGCTTGGTTTATTTTGCTCAGCATAATACTCTCCAGGTCCTTCCATGTCTTCTCAAAGGATAAGAGATCTTTCTTTCTTACAGCTGCATAGTATTCTATTATGTACATGTACCACAGCTTTTTAATCCACTCATCTACTGATGGACACTTGGGTTGATTCCGGATCTTAGCTATTGTAAATAGTGCTGCTGTGAACATAGGGGTACATATATTTTTTCTGATTGGTGTTTTAGGTTTAGAACTTATTTACTTTGTATAACAAAACTTTATAAACATTGAAAAACAACACTTGTTTGCCCCTCCCCCTAGCTTCTGGCAACCGCCACCTTATTTTCTGCTTGCATGAGTTTGCCTACTTTAGATCATTCCTATAAGTAGAATCATGCAGGATTTGTCCTGCATTTGGCTTATTTCAGTTAGCATAATGTCCTCAAGGTTCATCCATGTTGTCACAAATGGCACGACTCCTTTTTTTATTTTTTTTATTTTTATTTTTTTATCCTCACCTGAGGACATTTTTCCATTTTTTGTTCAGGTAGAGTGGGAGGGAGAGAGAGAAACAGAGAGAGAGAGAGAGACATCGATGTGAAAGGAACACATCAAGTGGCTGCCACCCGCACAACCGACCAGGGCCGGGGACAAACTGCAGCCGAGGTATGCGCCCTTAGCGGGAACCAAACCCGGGTCTCTCAGGACCGCAGGCCGACGCTCTAACCGCTGAGCCAAACCGGCCAGAACACAAAATCTATGGGATACAGTGAAAGCAGTTCTGAAAGGGAAATTCATAGCACTACAGGACTACCTCAAGAAACAAGAAAAATTTCTAATTGACTGTCTAACCTAACAACTTAACAACCTAGGAAGCAAAGAAAAAGAAAACCCCAGAAGAAGTAGAAGGAAAGAAAGAGTAAAGATCAGAGCAAAAATAAATTATATAGAACCCCCCCCCCAAAACCAAACCAAACAAACAAATAAAAAAACAATTTAAAGGATCAATGAAACAAAGCTCGTTTTCCGAAAAGATAAACAAAATTGTTGAAACCTTAGCTAGACTCACCAAGAAACAAAGGGAGATAACCCAAATACACAAAATCGGAAATAAGAGAAGTAACAAGTGACATCACAGAAATACAAGAGATCATTAACAAATACTATGAACAATTATATGGCAACAAATTTGACAATCTAAGCAAAATGGACAAATTTCTGGAAACACATAGTCACCCAAAACTGGACCGGGATAGAATACTTGAACAAACCAATGACAACTAAGGAAGTTGAAGATGTAACGAAGACTCTTGCAGCAAACAAAAACCCAGGCTTGAATGGCTTCAATGGGGAGGTTCATCGAACATTCAAAGAAGAACTAAAACTTATTCTCCTCAAACTATTTCAAAAAATTCAAGAAGAAAGACTTCCAAACTTGCTGTATGAGGCCAACATAATTATAATTCCAAAACCAGAATAAGACACTACAAAGAAAGAAAACTACAGGTCAATATCCCTGATGAACATAGATGCCAAAATCCTGAACACAATACTAGCAAATCAAATCCAGCAATACATCAAAAAAATTATTCACCATGACCAAGTGGGATTCATCCCAGGAATGCAAAGCTCATACAATATTCACAAATCAATAAATGTGAAACACCACATAAACAAAATGAATGATAAAAATAATATGATCATATCAATAGATGCTGAAAAAGCAGGTACATTCCAAAAAAAAAAAAAAAAAAAAATGAAACTCGACCAAATCCAGCACATATTTATGATAAAAACGTTCAGCAATCTGGGAATAGAGGGATCATATCTCAAAATCATAAAGGCCATGTATGAAAAACCTACAGCCAACATCATACTCAATGGGCAAAAATGAAAAGCATTTCTCTTAAGAACAGGAACAAGGCAAGGATGCCACTTTTGCCACTTTTATTTAACATAGTACTGGGAGTCTTAGCCACAGCAATCAGATAGGAGGAAAAAATAAAAGGAATCCAAATGGGAAAGGAGGAAATGAAACTGTCATTATTTGCAGATGACATGATATTATACATAGAATACCCCAAAGACTCCATCAAAAATTTACTAGACTTAATAAATGAAATTGGCAAAGTAGCAGAATACAAAATTAATGTCAGGAATTCGATGGCATTCTATACACCAATGATGAACTCACAGAAAGAGAAACTATGCAAACAATCCCATTTACCATTGCTGCAAAAAAAATTAAGATACCTAGGAATAAACTTAAACAAAGAAATAAAGGATCCATTCACAGAAAACTACACGTCATTGAAAAAAGAAATAGAGCAAGATATAAAAAAGTGGAAGCACAAACCTTGTTCATGGATTGGAAGAATCAACATCATTAAAATGTCCATACTATCCAAAGCAATCTATAGATTCAATGCAATCCCCATCAAAATACCAACAACATACTTCACAGAACTAGAACAAAAACTTCCAAAGTTCATATGGAACAACAACAAAATAACCTTGAGTAGCCACAGCAATCTTGAAAAAGAAGAACAAAGATGGAGGGATGACATTACCAGATTTCAGGTTATATTACAAAGCCACTGTAATCAAAACAGCCTGATACTGGCACAAGAACAGACATATAGACCAGTGCATCAGAACAGAGAACCCAGAAATGGACCCAAGGCAATACGCTCAATTAATTTTTGACAAAGGTGGCAAGAGCATAAAGTGGTCGAAAGACAACCTCTTTAATAAATGGTGTTGGAAAAACTGGACAGGTACATGCAAAAAAAAAAAAAAAGAAACTAGACCATCAACTTACACCATACACAAGAATAAACTCAAAATGTATAAAAGACTTAAATATGACTCATGAATCCATAAAAATCCGAGAAGAAAATGCAGGCAACAAAATCTCAGACATCATACGCAGCAGAATTTTCACTGATACATCACATAAAGCAACAGAAACAAAGGAGAAAATGAACACATGGGACTACATCAAACTCAAAAGCTTCCGCATAGCAAACGATACAATCATCAAAATGGACCGCCAACCCACTGTATGAAGAGCATAATTGTCAATGATACATCAGATAAGGGGCTAATTTTCAAATATATAGAGCGCTCATACAACTCAGCAAAAGGAAGACAAAGAACCCAATTGAAAGATGGGCAGAGGACCTATTAGATACTTCTCCAAACAGGACATACAAATGTCCAAGAGACAAGAAAAAATGCTCAACATCACCAATCATCAGAGAGATGCAAATTAAAACAACAATGAGGTATCACCTCACACCTGTCAGAATGGTCAGTGTTGGCAAAAAAGGGACTTTAGTACAGCTGGTGGGAATTCAGATTAGTGCAACCACTATGGAGAACCCTATGGTGGTACCTCAAAAAATTAACAATTGAATTGCCAGTTGACCCAGTGATCCCTCTTCTAGGAATATACCCTAAGAAGCCTGAAACATCATTCAGGGAGAATATATATACCCCCATGTTCATAGCAGCACTATTTACAATATTTAAGATCTGAAAACATCCCAAGTGTCCATTAATAGATGAATGGATAAAAAAGGTGTGGTACATATTCACAATGGAGCACTATGTGGCTGTAAGAAAGAAAGATCTCTTATCCTTTCAGATGATCTGGTGGGGCCTGGATAGTATATCCTAAGTGAACCAATCCAAGCAGGGTAAGACAAATATCACATAATCTCACTTAATTGTGGAATATAATGAACATAACAGTCTGAGGAACAGGTTAGACCCAGAGACGTGGAATATGGTACAGACTACAACCCTTAGAAGAGTGGGTGGGGTAGAGGGAGAAATAAACCACAGAACTTATATGCATGTACACATAACTGATGGACATGAACAACAAAGCTGGGGACAGGGTAGGGGTGTTAAGGTTGAGGGTGTTAATGGGGAAAAAAGGA